TACACATGAGCAATTCTATCTACACATTTTTTTAGAACAATCTGATATGAATCCTATATATATACAAAAAATGTGCTGTTTGCAAGGCATGGTATTGAATGTAGAATTCAATCTGCATTGAATGTGGAAACTAATTACGCCGCCTGGAACACAAAGTTACATTTGCATTGTTTACGTTTCGTTTCTACAGTTTCCCCGTTAATATTATAAACATATCATGACGTATGGACCGAGCGACTGTCTGCCGTGATTTGATAATATGTTACAACGTTCTTCCAGTTGCTTCTTTTGAGATTGTATCGGCTGTCGCATCTTTCCAAGCCAGACCAAAAATGTGCTTTCAATATTTTATAGTATAAATCTGACCCTCGGCCGTTTTTAACTATTATACTACGTGGGAAAGTGTGTCAAAGTGAAAATGTTTAAAAGTGTGCGCCACACAGCAACTGGTAAACTAACTTTTAAATTGTAATGCGATTAAGCCTCATCCTGTATCATTGTGAATATTGCGTTGTTAGCTTTCGCGAAGTCGTCATCAACTTTGGAAATACTCCCCCTCCCGAGTCTGGAATAATATTGTAGAATGATCTAATTTAATACTGTCTAAATTTGACCGGTGTCATAAACCAAGACTTGGTTTCTATCTTACAGTTATCACCTCATTGTACGGCTGCCTGTGTTTAAAATTTCAACCCAAAACGGTATAACGATTAGTTTCTGGCGTAATCCGGCTAGCAAATCTAATTTCTACGATTTAAATTGACCTAAAAAGTGTGTAATGGGGTAATTCGTGATCGTAGATCGCAATTTCTGATGATTTGTAAAGCTGCTCGAGTTGAAATAGCATTTGATAATTCTTTGCGATTCTCTCTCTTTATACCTTTTCTACCGGATATTTAATAGATCATCTTCACCTGTGTGATAGCCGAACGTTTCATCGCTTATTTTTTAACAAATAATATATTTTCGTCAATAATTGCACGTCTTTTATAACAGTTTATTATTCAAGGGCCATTTGAAGCATCATGAAGGCGAAAGATAGAAAAGGAAGCACTCAGCATGATCTGTCAGAGACAAAGATATTGATATTAGAAAAACAGATGATACTCACCAAGGAAGAAATGTTGAAGGCTCAACAACTGGCGTTTTTTCTTGAAGATGCTCGGAAAATTCTGGAAAAGAATATTCAAATCGACATGGCTATTTCAGTGAAAGATATGGAGAATAAGAAGAGGCGAGAATACTTGGATGATTTGATAGACTATCAGGCTCGAAAAGAGCACATATACATGGTAACCATAGGATACTGGCTGATAACGATTCTGTTGGGACTAGTTGCCATGACTCTGGAGGTATGTCTCACGGACGTAGGAATGTATGTTATTTGGGCAGGTTTACTTCTGTCTAACGTTCTCCTTGTCATCGGACACAAGCTTTACGACCACACCCAGGTGTACGGGATAATTGACAAGTTCACGGAAAAAGACCAGCCAACTGTTATTGTAAACCCTCTTAGTTCGGAGAAAGAAGAGATGGTTTAGGGTGTGGAGGGGCCACTGGCATAAAATGCCATAAAATGGAGACTTTTCTATGGAGAAAATGGAAAAACCCTTGGGTAATTCCCCATTTTATGCCATTTTATGCCATGAATTTTGATCACCGAATTACGTTTGTGGCAGCTTACTTGGACACTAACATGTTTATTTTTGCATACCAGGCTACTCAAGTCTCAAAGCTCATACCAAGCTACTAGAGGCTCATAACAGGTTACTAGAGGCCAAGATCAATTCGACTATTTTGCAATTCAAATTCCACTAAATTTCACTCTGATTGTGATACAATTTAGAAATCGATCGGATATCCGGCTATAGTAAGTAGTTGAAAAGGTGCTTGGCTCATTATGATCAGAGTAACATGAACACTGAAGAAAAGTGGTTTCCAGGAAAACTTTTAAAACATTTTACTTAAAAAAACTTTTAAAATTTTTGTACTCACGAGTCCAAAATCGTATATCGATTATTATATCGACTATATATCGAAGGGTAGGTGCGGACTTCGAAAATCGAAGAAACATTTTCGGCTAATAATGATCAGGGTAGCATGAAACGTGAACAAAAAAACGTTTCCAGAAAAGCTGGAAAATTGTTGAAGGTCGAAATACGATAAAAGGGCAAAAATTGTCTTTTTGGTGTTCGAAATAATATTTAGATTCTAGATGATTATTGTATTTAAATTATTTCGTCCTTTATATTTTTTGTAAAAAATTGCGTTTTTAAATGGTATAAAATGGTGACTTTTTCTATGGAGAAAATGGAAAAACCCTTGGGTAATACTAATTCTCCATTTATGCCATTTTATGCCATATCCACGTGTGGAGATATTCTCAGAGGGCGGAGAACTCGTCTTATTTTAGGTTAAGTTATTTTAGGAATGTGTTTATCTGGTTATTCAGTGCTGGATTGCTGGACAGGGGATATTAGGATCAGATACTGTGATGGTGTTCTCATTTTCTGTGAATCAGTTCAGTCCCTGTGTTGGGCCTTATTGAGACGTTTACATATTATGTAATCACTTTTTGAACAATTTCTACCCCCCCCCCCCCTCCGTAATCAGTTTTATACACAGCTATTGTGTCAAAATCAAACTAGCGTAATCAATTGGAACCCCCCCTCCCTCGGCTGATTACGTAATATGTGAACGACCCCTCAGTGAAACGTTTTTATCTTGCGTGTTTGTGATGTGAATACCTCTGGCCATCTGGGTCTTGATTATGCTTCTAGGAAAATACGTGATATTATGTCTTATTTTTTGTTTCGTTGTAGGTTAATATGTTAGTCAAGGGATTGTCAGAAATATTGAATGCATTTTTTACCGCATATTCACTTTTTACTTATTTTTATATTTTAAAAACGTTAAAACGTTCTGATTTTCTGAAGAATATTTTCCTACTTTTACGAAGTACGTCACGAATAACCACTAACCAGTGACTATATCTAAAGCAGTGAAATAATTGGAATAATTCATATAATATATTAATTAAAAACCATTATAACCAAATTTAATTCACACGGAATGGTTCACATATTAATTAAGTGTTAAGTTACAATTCTCTTGAAATACACCGCACAACAGCGGAGCGTAGCTTTCACTTCGTTACCAACATATTAAACCAATTAGTAGAATGCCAGTATTCTGGATTGATAAATATTAACCCGGTTGGTACTTTGAAACAAGGTATGGTACGTGTCATGATCGATAAATCACACATATTTTCACGGGTAACGATGAACAATCATCACGGCAGGCTGTCCCCGTAGGAGTGTCCCCGAGAGCTGTTATTTGAGTCGGCTCCTGAAATATGACATGTTAGTTAATGTTGCTACTTTGAGGGTCTCAATTTAATAATATCTTTTCTTTATGACATTAAGACATAAGAACGTACGGTATGTTAATAGCACACGCGTGACAATACTCCATTACGCAATTCGCATCTCTACTCCTCAACGCAGCTGTAAAGGTCACTCTTCGAGACCCGGGAGCCACAGTTTCTCCTTTGCGTTGCTTGAAAGTTTGGCCGTCTTACATTTCAAACTTAACTCCTTTTTCTTGATGTCTGCGCAGTACTGGTAACCACAATACCTCTTCACCGTCCTCCTTAAGTTTGCGGCTGATATACTTATTTATCATACGCGATTATTTACACTGTCGGTGAAATGAGCCCGCCAGAGGGACACATCCCTTCTCGCTTCCTGTATGATATAACAGAAGAAAAGTATGTCACTCACACCACTGACAAACCATTCGATTCTGAATTTCTATCACTTGTGGAGGAGGCCTACCAGATTTTGGAGAAGGATTCCAGGATGAACTGCATAGTTGAAAATATCACCAAAGAGAAGATAAAATATTTCCTTACAGAATTGGTCGAGTATCAAGTACGAAAGGAGCTTATCTACAAAATTATAATAGCGTACTGGCTTTTTACAATCCTGTTGGGCCTAATCTCCATGACCATTCAAGCTAGACTTACTGCGGAAGGAATGTATATTATTTGGACCGGACTAATGGTTTCCAACGTCCTCCTGGTTGTTGGACACAAGTATTACGACAATGTAAGGGTTGGTGTTATGGTTAAGAAATACTCTCTTGGAGGAGTGGTTATAGTTAACACTTTGGTCTCTACTGTGTGATAACGAGATGGATGAAACGAGCGTTAAATTTAATCAGGAAAGTTTTACCTGGAGCCAGCAGTTGCAGTGAACATTGGATAAGGAATGCTTACGCTCGCAGGATTAAACCGTTGGTGTTTTGGGGTTTTAACGTTTGATGTGATAACATTTGACCACTGGAAGAAAACTGTGATATTTAATTTTTGGTACAATTTTCTTGATATCAAATATACAAGTATATCATTACTAAAACTTGAGTTTTAATGCTTTGTGGGCTGTGGCATTAACGTAGACTTTATGTTATTCATGAATTTGAAAGTATTTTGTTCAGAGTTTTCATTCCAAATTTAGAGTTCTAAAAATAGCGCTGCATCGCAAGTTGAGCATTTTCTCGCTTTGACACCATTATGACGAACATTGGTCCAATGATGAATAATACTGGGTGATCCGTTCAAAACTTTAGTCATACTGCACAATTCAAATTGTTCCGAATAAGTCTGCTTACATTTTCTGATCGGCTGTTCTATTGCTTGTCTCAAAAACATACAATTATCAGAATGCAAGTGTTTAAGATAGCGTCTGGTGCTTTTTAAAGTTTTAAGTGGACAGTTTGGCCGTGGTAGATATTAAAGTCACTATTGTGACGGTACACTATCCCAACGAGCTACACCAAGCATAGTTTCAGGTGATTAATTCTGTACGCACAGACCGCTTGATCCGTAAATGGTTCCCATCGTCCCACGTCCGCAAACAAGTCTTCATCTCTACATACCCCTTCACATCCACCGTTATTCTCCCTGATCCCATCCTTAATCGAGATGATTTCCTCAGGTAAAAAGTTAGCACATCAGACGAGGATGTCCAAATCTGAGGAATCTGTTTACATAGCGCTAGGAGAACAGTGTATTAGCAGTGCTGTAGAAATCTACAGGACCCGCAAGACAGAGGATAGCATTATCAAGACCCATGTCATGGAGAACATTGTCAAGGTAAGATGTAGCTTAAATTGTGAAAACATTAATTATTGATTAAAGTTCATCCAACGTATAGTTATAGTCTATATAATATTCTAATTCAGTAGAGCTTCTTTCACTCAATTTATGAAATTTTTGTCGGCTGCAGATGTGTTCAGATGGAGGTTTAATAATTCTCGTGAGTATGGAAATAAATTGTTCAATATCTGAACTTTCACCTAAAAGGGAGCGCCAAATCGTCGTTTGAATGTGGGACAGTTTTGGGCGCCAACATGCAACGTAACCCCACTGCTGGCCGCCTAGTTACTATTAGGTATTTTAGGTATATATGTATTTTAGGTTTATCATGCATGCTGCGTGAAAGTACACGATGCAATGCAGCAAGAATAATTTAACTAAACTAAAAATGGCCATGGAGTTGACCGCACTCCAGGACCACCAGCCAGATCAGATCCGTTGCAGTGGAACCCCTAGTTCTGTTAGACCCCGTCACTTGACAAGTCGACAGGATCTAGCAGAGCTATAAGGCTGGCACGAAGAGCAGGTAGTTTCCTACCTTGCTCCCCCCACTGTGGCACAAGCACGACGTGCAGTGTTGCTTGCCCGACTAAATAAAATGACTTTGACGTCTTTGTGGTGGTTGCTAAAGTCTTTAAAATGGTGTGCTAAAATCCGATTTTTTGTTGTAAAATCAGAGTGTGGTTGTAAAATCCGATGTGTGGTTGTAAAATTACAGTAGTAGTTGCGATTTCCATCTTCCAATCTTTTCGTTTCCGTGAGGGGGTCTCCAATATTCCATGTCCGTGGTAGTGATCATGATGTGTCTTTCACTCAGCGATGGGGATGACAACATCAGATGAGAGGGCTGGTCGTACCAGCAGCAGTGAGAGGGTGTTGACTCTGCTCATGTCTGCCTAGAGAGCAACATCCTGTTTTCCTATTTCCAAAACGGTGTCCGTCTGTAGTCCTTGTTCTGATGTTCGGTGTGCTATCCTTGGAGTTTGAGCGAAAACTGTCTTTAGTTTCCGATTTATCAACATTTCGAACTCTTTGAACGTTCGATCATTTACGATGTCTAATTCTCGGACTTTGTTGATCGTAAATGTGAGCCTGCTACAAGCCAAACGGCTGTCCGCTCTCATGGCCCTCACATAATATATGAACAGGCCCAGAATAGCACTCCCTAGCATCAGTATGAAGATTGCGATGATCAGGAGGGTCGAGTCTTCAAATCTTTCATTTCTTGAAACTGTGAATTTTCTCAATCAAAGGATCGAGCAGATTACAACGTAAGGTGAGAGTTACAAGCAAATCTGTGCACACCATTAGTTGCTACTTGCTAGGCTATTTATAGCAGCCCACGTGCAGCTTGTTAAACTTTTTACACATTTCCAATTTGAGAACATTTCGTTGGAATTGCAGACTTACTGCACGCGTAGTTCGAGGAGAGCAATCAACCGCTTTCTTTGACTCCGGTCTCGATCGCGGTGAAAGTGTCCTAGTTGAATTCATCAGACAAATATTTAGAGCTAGGGGCGATTTCTCAGCAGGATGGTACGTGCGCGTCGATTTCTCATAGAAAGACAACCAGCGCCCTACATCAAGTAAATTCATGAAATCACAATATTGGACGGGCAGAGGGGCAGTAATACCCCTTAACTCAGTCCCCACGTAATGGTATCCTAGGAATGCACAAACTTGATTTCATACTACACTCTTGCGATCAGTTGGGCCATCGAAAATATGCCAACTATAAATAGTAAATAATGTTAATAATTAACATTGCACAGCATATTATAATAACTTAATTTTCAGATGCTTCGCGGGCCGCTGGGATTAAAGTACAGCTGTCCCTCACAATCTACATGGTTACTCTGCCATGCTACACTGATATCTGTTATTGAGGAGGGCGTGGACACGGCTTGTGATACAGGTTTATTATCTCAGTCATCATTTCACAAAGAAAGCTGTTAACGTGTATTTATTTTCACTTTTTTACCAAGGAGAATAATGCAACTACTATTAACTACTTATACTCAGACAGGTGTATGTTTACTTTAACCAGTAACTGTTGAATATATTTTCAGCGTCTGAGTTTGAAGGAATGTGGATAGAACTTGGAAAATGTATCGAAGAATTCTTGTTTGGGGATCAGTAAGTAACCGAGACCATGCATGTAAACACATTTTTCTGCGTGTATTTCATATTACATTGGGTTGCACGCAGTATAAGTGTTTGATTCACGTTAAGACATAAAAAATAGTGGTATTTTGCATCTATAAGTCTATAGCATGGCCAGTTTAGAAAAGCAGTTTTACCGCATAAAACCTCCCCCAGCACAAAGCAGCCTTTTGCAAGGTTTATCAACACTTTTTCAGTAGACCCCCAATGAATTTGACATACGAAGAGAGAATGGCACACGAACAACTGGACGTTAAGATGATCAGACTGATCCAGGAACAGATCCTCCCTCGCGCCTCCCACACTCCCCCCACCTTCATATCCCACGTTATGACACTGCTTAACCGGGGCTCCGTGCATGCTACCTCTCCTCAACCCCTCACTACAGGTGAGCAGTGTGATCTGATCATTTCCTGGATTTACTGTTTGAATTTGGGGTGTCGTGATCGTGTGGCATTTAATTTCAGATCATGCCCAATTAATTAATTAAGTTGATTTATTGATTGTGTAATTAGTTGATTGTGGTATTTTTTACCGTGATTTGCTTAAATTCTAGTGGTTTCAAAAAAAATCTAACATTTTAAGATCCAACAATAATTACTAAAAATAATGAAAATCTTACAATTGTTGTACTAGCCATGAGCTATTCCTAATTATTAATTCTTGTTTTTTATTATGAAAAATAAATGATTCTCAGTTTATCAGCACATGATTAAACACAAAAGTAAGCTTACGTGTGCGTGCAAAAAAATCAAAGTTGCTAGATATTGCACGACCCATCTGCTAGTTTTGGCATGACATCTTTGCTTACCTCAGTGTTCAGAATACCAATCACTTTGCCGTACACTTTGCTGATGTTGAGCAAACTCATGACAATCAAACCACCCACTGCAAGATGCAAGTTTATCAACCACACACGTCAACAAAATTCCGTGCATTTTACTCCTTGGTTATTGGAAAATGGAAAACAGTGAACAGTGAATAACTCATTGCTTTACTTAGCGTCACACCCATCTAGCAGCTTTTTCTAAATCTTCTCGCTATTCCAATGTCGCTGTGCTAGCTATTACTGTCGTCTAAATTTTGTTTAGGTTGTTAAAATACAGTATTTCCTACATTAGAAAGAGCAGGCTGACACGAGGACTGCTTGCTGCAGAAGATATAATAGCGTCAGTAGACAAATTTCTGCCATTTTATGCAGCTTCACCATCTCACGTTCTGGACAGTAAATAAAATAAACCGCCCAACTTAATAACATAGTCTAAATTATAATGGTAACAAAAAATTACTAGCACCTGGTATCGGGTAGGATAAACATTCTGTGTTTGCTGTACAATGTGAAGCGCTAAATTTGTTTATTTCAATAGCAGAATTGTACAACCCATTGCCAGCCACGCTGAGAGCTACGGATCCAGATGGTAAGTAAAATTTATTACATTTTTCATCTCATGCAAGTAAATAAATAACTCTCACTCACAAATCACAAATCACATCACTAAAACACATAGTTTCATCTTCAATCCGCCACATTCTTATATTGTCATTTTACCTGTCAGTTGCCAATTTCGTTAAAAATAGTTATCATTCTCCTATTGTCGAAAAATCATTTTCCCGACGGCATTGGGTTTGACTGGAATGACATCACTAGCATATATAAATTTCATCACTCCTTAGTCTGCATATCTACGCACAGTTACGATTAACATTACTGAGATTTACTTGATAATTGTGTTGAACTGCGTGTGACTGTCCATGTGTTATGTGTGCAGTTTGGTGTTTTGCACAATGCTGTCAAGTGTATCACCTACCCTCTAATTATTTATTAAACTTCACATCAGATTGTTATACAAATTGCCTATTATACGTTTATTGGAGTGGCCAATTTGATAACTGGTATGCAGTGTCGCATGATTAACAAAGAATGTTTAATAACTGTTTAAATCACTGTTTGTAACCTTACATTTAAATGAAACTGATGTTCAATTATTGTGGTTAATGAATGTTTTACACGTTATTACGTTATCAAGGCCAGTCATGAAATTAAGATAATATAACACAGTCTTTGGGCTATCATACGATTTATTTCAACCTTTAACAGAAGCAGAAAAAGTAAGTTACTGTAACAACTAACATTTGCCTCCCAGCAATCAACACTCTACCGTTGAGAGAACAGTTCGCTAAGTCATGTTTTGAGACACTCTTACAGTTTTCCTTCTACAAAGCCAGTAGCTCGTCCGGAGGTCAGTATACAATTATCTTCTCTCTTTTAATATGGGAGTGGGAAGTGTACATTACGGTGTGAAGTAGCGACTTGAGTACTTTTGTCGAGGGGACATGGAGGGGACAAAGCTTTTACTACTATACCTTGAGTCCGTAAGATCTAGGAAAACTCGTGCTTATTTTGCTTCACAGTACAACTCTTCAGATGTATCTAAACTAGCACTGGGGACTCTACTGAAACGCTGCCAGGAGGTGCTACAAAACTACGTGAAGGACGAGAAGCTGAGCGGCCGCTGTCCTCTCCCCCGCTCTAGGATGGCGGAGATAGCCTTTGTGATGAGAGCCATATCTTCTCTTATTGGTTCCCTGCAAGCTAGACGTGACCACATGACCCACAGTAAGTGGTCGACTGTTTCTTATCTCTTTAAGTTTAAAAACTAAATGCGAAGTGTTTAAGGGGGGGGGGGGGGGGGGGTCACCCTGATTTTTTTGTGAAACTTGGTTTCGAGATAGCAGTTGACCAACAAACTAGGACCGGTGACCGAACTTTTGAGGGGGTCCCCGACCCCAACCGCCAAACGGTGCCCGCAGGGCAGCCACGCCCATATTTGGTTCAAATTAGGCCCAATTTAGCCAAATACCCTGAACATGCCCAAAACCCAGATTTTATGTGCTCTACTTGTAGCTAGTGGTCCCCTGAACAAGTATATGAATTTTCATCAAGATTGGGCAAAAAATGACTGAGTTATGAGCCAAAAACCATATGACCATATTTGGGCATGCGCACCAAAAATTTGGCGGCCAAATTCTGAAAAATGCCTGGCAAATTTTGGAATTTGGCCGCCAAATTTTTTTAAAGGCCTAACTCAAAATTTCAATACAAGACTTAAGGTCGAAATGCGATTCTACGTTGATTCTGAAAATTTCATGTAAAAATATTGAAACCCTATCGAGTTCTATTGTTTTGAGCGAAATCAGTTTTGCAAATATCACGAACTGAGATATGGACGATTTTGTTCATTTTTTGTGATTATTTGAACACAGAATCCACAGTTAGGTAGATACTGAGCTGATAATCATAGAGAATGTGTAGTATAAGCTTACCTTTCATATAAAGTTGGTTTTATTCAAAAATATTGATATTTGACCAATTTATGGGCCAAAATCGATCAAATTTGGTGCGTATGCCCAAATATGGTCATATGGTTTTTGGCTCATAACTCAGTCATTTTTTGCCCAATCTTGATGAAAATTCATATACTTGTTCAGGGGACCACTAGCTACAAGTAGTGCACATAAAATCTGGGTTTTGGGCATGTTCAGGGTATTTGGCTAAATTGGGCCTAATTTGAACCAAATATGGGCGTGGCTGCCCCGCGGGCACCGTTTGGCGGTTGGGGTCGGGGACCCCCTCAAAAGTTCGGTCACTGGTCCTAGTTTGTTGGTCAACTGCTATCTCGAAACCAAGTTTCACAAAAAATCAGGGTGACCCCCCCCCCCCCCCCCCTTAAGGTGGGAAGTGGGCAAATGAGCAAGTCAAGATACGTAATGTGATAAGACTGCCGACAATTTTAAATGACAGACATCATGTCTGTCATTTAAGGTTATCAGGACGGCATGCCGTCGGAAAAAAATGATAAGAATGTGGTTTATTGGATATGTCCACAACATTTTGTACAGTACGTGGTTAAGGTTTCTACTGTTTCTATTTCATACAGAACATTCATGATATAATGGGTAGTGTTTCCGTGTTATGACAGTGTGACTGATACAAGTTACCATATTATCATAATATAATACAGGAACTAGGGAGGGGGAGAGGGGGCCAAAAATCAGTACAAATACGTTGGGTCTTATAACATAGTCATTAGTCATGTATTATATCTGAGACCTGCAATTTTGCACATGGTATGCTGTATTTGTAACTACTCATTCGAAAATTCCGTCGCCAAAATTAATAAAAATATATTTCTAGAGGCCACACCCAATCAACATTGAATTTCGTATACTCGTGTTTGTGAACATGCTAGAAACTCCATTTTAACACGGATAGTTTAATATTTAAAATATTTCAGTTGATGTGGAGGTATGGGACCACGTAGTTGGACTCTACCCTTATCTTATCGACTGTGTGACCTGCAATTCTAACGAGGTATGTTGCTATTATCTTATCATTTAGTCCGGTTTTAAAAATACCATATTATACCATTATCATGATCAGGTCATGTTTTTTTAATGGTCGGTCAACAAGATGTTACAATTTTACTCCTACTCGACTGCCAGACAGTGAATACTAAAATAGTGGTAGTGATTTAATGTCAGGCTATGAATGGCCATTGTGAATTGTGATCATTTATTTTACACTGTAACACTGTCAGAATTCACACGTAAGCTGCTAAATTAATTTCCTGTGTGCCACCTGACATCACAGATCTCGGTTTCAAATGACTGAAGTAATGTAGAAGTAGGGAATGTACTATGTAGGGGGGGCCAACGCCCCAAAAGGCCCCACATGACACATATCGAAAATCCGAAAAGGGCCCTAGAAATCGGGGCCTTTTGACCCTGTCCACTATTTGATAGTGTTTATGGACCATAATCTCGATGTAAATACACTTGAAAATAAACATAAAAGTACTGTGCAAGTAGTCAGATAATATCATTAAAGCACTTAGCTATATATCAAACTTGATGAAATTGAAGTTAATTCTAGGGCCCCAAAAGGCCCTACACATATCGAAAATCCAAAAAGGGCCCTAGAAATCGGGGCCTTTTGGGGCTTTGCCCCCCCCCCCCCCCCCCCCTATGTAGAAGTAGGGAATGTAAGATTGAAATACATGCTGCATCATGGTATGGTCTAGACTCTAGACCTGTGTCGTGAATACTCCGTATTATGTATCAAGTTCTTGATTTAATACGTTCCACTTTACAGTTTCCAGATAATATTATTAAGTTTACAGTGTTAAAATAATATTATGCACATGTGATTTACCTTACCTACCTTAATTAGGTGAATCACATACCTTGAAATTAAACTAGACTTCAAGGGATGTTTTAAGGTTTTCTAGGTACTCAGGAAAGAATACATTGAAATTAACTAAGAGTTTAAGATCGAATGCGTATAATAATTATAGTATTCTAGAAGATTCCGTTAAATCAGTTTCCTTCTAACAGTTACCTATCCTCAGGTGCGGGACACACTAAAAGAAGCACTGCATAGATTCAGAGATCTGCTCGTCCCGCCAAAGTTAGCGGCAGACGAGACTGAGACTGATGGGGTCGACAATAATGATCTAGAACATGTCTCTAACAAACCAGCAAAGTCAGACCCTGCTTGCTCTGAAGGAACACAGACAGTGGAGGTAAAAGCGGAATCTCGTTCTGATATAGTGAAGGTAGCATGGTCCGATACGAACAATGGCTCAGCTCCCTGTCTTCCCGAACAGAACAATATAGAAGCGCCACCGGTTCCATCTGTTCAGGAACCTGGTCAAGCTGTTGAGGAACCAGAAGCAGCTCCAATTAGTATAGAACTAGCATGCGAACCAGTTCCAGATTATGTAGTACAAGCATCTGAACTTGAGGAATCAGCTGATGACCTTGACCCACAACCGACAGAAAATGAACATGATCAACCATTAGAACCAGAGGTAGATTTAACAGAAGCTGAGAACAAGAAGAAATTTGTCATCACAGAAAACGAACTTAAAACTTTGGATTCAGAAGTGGTGGGAAATGAGCAGAAAACAGTCTTAGATCCGGAAGGATGAGACTTGTGTTTGTACAATTAGTCCGCTGGTCGGAATTGTTCGTGTGTTAGCGTTCTGGAAAACTCTTTAGTGAATACTTTGTTTTGTACTGACTGAAATTTAAGGAATATTGTTAAGGGGTTCTCTCTTGGTACAAGGAATTAATTTTGTAATTGTAGAGTGGGCCCAAATTAACTTCACAAAGTAATTCTGCTTGGTTTTATCTGTTGAATTTTATGGGAGAAAGGTGTTAGTTAATTTCGGCCTACCCTCTTTCTTGATGTTTATGTTGAATTATGTATGTTAGTTGGTAAGGTCATACCATTTAAACAGGAGGGAGAAGTCAATATAATTCATTAATGTAATTATGTAACATGATGTGCATTTTGATTAAGTTAAAGTATTAGAAACCGACTTAGGTTAGAAACCGACTTAGGTTAAAAGGTCAGGAATACTCCTGCCAATTCGCCAACAGATGCATGCAAACTATTAGAAGGAAACATTTAGATCTTAACTTTAAAGATTAATATGCTTTAATATTAATAAATATATAGATATATATATATGATTGGGTCCGTAATCCGTGACATATTGTATGCTTTAAATTTAATCTTTGAGGAATTTGAAATGCCGATTGTCGCTTTTATGTTGTAGTTTAATACTAAACGAATTATACACATACTTGATTTCGATAAATGTATAAATTTTTGGTAAAGCCCTTTCTAAAGGAGGAAGTTTACGCAATTTCAATTTTAGTTACAATCCCATTTAATGATTTGAAAAAATTGAGACTGCTAATAATAACGAATTTTCAGTTTCATTCACAAATGAAAGCAAGTGTCCTTACTTCTAGATAGATATAGATACGACTTTAATATCTAAGTTTGCAGTAACTTTCCCTTAGATATTTTATGTTTTGGACAGCAAAATACAACCGTATAAAAGTCGAAACCTCCAAATATATAAGTACTATGTAAAAGATACAATTGCATTGCATAATACTATAGTATTTACTCAATCTGTTAAGCATGAAACTTGTTAGCCCGTTTGAAAGGCAGCAAATCTATTCGAAAGACTTGCAAATATCTAACACAACAAATAATTAAATAGGTTTCATGCCCGTATCATTTTATTTTGAGACAACGTTTTAAAACTTAACAATCGCTTTTATTTTGAAGTAGTGGCCAGTAAAAATAATCCCATATATAAGTATAACAAAATAAAAACGTAAACACTAAAAAGAGCTTAAACTTAATTAAGTATTCACTGCGTAAAAATAAAATAAACTGGTTAGTCTAATAAGATAGAACATTGATAAATTCCTTATCACGGTAAAAAATGAGAAAATTCAAAGAAATGTACTAAAATCGCTGCTAAAGCTGTTAATGTTATCAAATTGATCTTCATTTTTAAAAGGTTCAGAATACCAATCACTTTGCCGTACACTTTGCTGATGTTGAGCAAACTCATGACAATCAAACCACCCACTGCAAGATGCAAGTTTATCAACCACACACGTCAACAAAATTCCGTGCATTTTACTCCTTGGTTATTGGAAAATGGAAAACAGTGAACAGTGAATAACTCATTGCTTTACTTAGCGTCACACCCATCTAGCAGCTTTTTCTAAATCTTCTCGCTATTCCAATGTCGCTGTGCTAGCTATTACTGTCGTCTAAATTTTGTTTAGGTTGTTAAAATACAGTATTTCCTACATTAGAAAGAGCAGGTTGACACGAGGACTGCTTGCTGCAGAAGATATAATAGCGTCAGTAGACAAATTTCTGCCATTTTATGCAGCTTCACCATCTCACGTTCTGGACAGTAAATAAAATAAACCGCCCAACTTAATAACATAGTCTAAATTATAATGGTAACAAAAAATTACTAGCACCTGGTATCGGGTAGGATAAACATTCTGTGTTTGCTGTACAATGTGAAGCGCTAAATTTGTTTATTTCAATAGCAGAATTGTACAACCCATTGCCAGCCACGCTGAGAGCTACGGATCCAGATGGTAAGTAAAATTTATTACATTTTTCATCTCATGCAAGTAAATAAATAACTCTCACTCACAAATCACAAATCACATCACTAAAACACATAGTTTCATCTTCAATCCGCCACATTCTTATATTGTCATTTTACCTGTCAGTTGCCAATTTCGTTAAAAATAGTTATCATTCTCCTATTGTCGAAAAATCATTTTCCCGACGGCATTGGGTTTGACTGGAATGACATCACTAGCATATATAAATTTCATCACTCCTTAGTCTGCATATCTACGCACAGTTACGATTAACATTACTTAGATTTACTTGATAATTGTGTTGAACTGCGTGTGACTGTCCATGTGTTATGTGTGCAGTTTGGTGTTTTGCACAATGCTGTCAAGTGTATCACCTACCCTCTAATTATTTATTAAACTTCACATCAGATTGTTATACAAATTGCCTATTATACGTTTATTGGAGTGGCCAATTTGATAACTGGTATGCAGTGTCGCATGATTAACAAAGAATGTTTAATAACTGTTTAAATCACTGTTTGTAACCTTACATTTAAATGAAACTGATGTTCAATTATTGTGGTTAATGAATGTTTTACACGTTATTACGTTATCAAGGCCAGTCATGAAATTAAGATAATATAACACAGTCTTTGGGCTATCATACGATTTATTTCAACCTTTAACAGAAGCAGAAAAAGTAAGTTACTGTAACAACTAACATTTGCCTCCCAGCAATCAACACTCTACCGTTGAGAGAACAGTTCGCTAAGTCATGTTTTGAGACACTCTTACAGTTTTCCTTCTACAAAGCCAGTAGCTCGTCCGGAGGTCAGTATACAATTATCTTCTCTCTTTTAATATGGGAGTGGGAAGTGTACATTACGGTGTGAAGTAGCGACTTGAGTACTTTTGTCGAGGGGACATGGAGGGGACAAAGCTTTTACTACTATACCTTGAGTCCGTAAGATCTAGGAAAACTCGTGCTTATTTTGCTTCACAGTACAACTCTTCAGATGTATCTAAACTAGCACTGGGGACTCTACTGAAACGCTGCCAGGAGGTGCTACAAAACTACGTGAAGGACGAGAAGCTGAGCGGCCGCTGTCCTCTCCCCCGCTCTAGGATGGCGGAGATAGCCTTTGTGATGAGAGCCATATCTTCTCTTATTGGTTCCCTGCAAGCTAGACGTGACCACATGACCCACAGTAAGTGGTCGACTGTTTCTTATCTCTTTAAGTTTAAAAACTAAATGCGAAGTGTTTAAGGGGGGGGGGGGGGGGGGGTCACCCTGATTTTTTTGTGAAACTTGGTTTCGAGATAGCAGTTGACCAACAAACTAGGACCGGTGACCGAACTTTTGAGGGGGTCCCCGACCCCAACCGCCAAACGGTGCCCGCAGGGCAGCCACGCCCATATTTGGTTCAAATTAGGCCCAATTTAGCCAAATACCCTGAACATGCCCAAAACCCAGATTTTATGTGCTCTACTTGTAGCTAGTGGTCCCCTGAACAAGTATATGAATTTTCATCAAGATTGGGCAAAAAATGACTGAGTTATGAGCCAAAAACCATATGACCATATTTGGGCATGCGCACCAAAAATTTGGCGGCCAAATTCTGAAAAATGCCTGGCAAATTTTGGAATTTGGCCGCCAAATTTTTTTAAAGGCCTAACTCAAAATTTCAATACAAGACTTAAGGTCGAAATGCGATTCTACGTTGATTCTGAAAATTTCATGTAAAAATATTGAAACCCTATCGAGTTCTATTGTTTTGAGCGAAATCAGTTTTGCAAATATCACGAACTGAGATATGGACGATTTTGTTCATTTTTTGTGATTATTTGAACACAGAATCCACAGTTAGGTAGATACTGAGCTGATAATCATAGAGAATGTGTAGTATAAGCTTACCTTTCATATAAAGTTGGTTTTATTCAAAAATATTGATATTTGACCAATTTATGGGCCAAAATCGATCAAATTTGGTGCGTATGCCCAAATATGGTCATATGGTTTTTGGCTCATAACTCAGTCATTTTTTGCCCAATCTTGATGAAAATTCATATACTTGTTCAGGGGACCACTAGCTACAAGTAGTGCACATAAAATCTGGGTTTTGGGCATGTTCAGGGTATTTGGCTAAATTGGGCCTAATTTGAACCAAATATGGGCGTGGCTGCCCCGCGGGCACCGTTTGGCGGTTGGGGTCGGGGACCCCCTCAAAAGTTCGGTCACTGGTCCTAGTTTGTTGGTCAACTGCTATCTCGAAACCAAGTTTCACAAAAAATCAGGGTGACCCCCCCCCCCCCCCCTTAAGGTGGGAAGTGGGCAAATGAGCAAGTCAAGATACGTAATGTGATAAGACTGCCGACAATTTTAAATGACAGACATCATGTCTGTCATTTAAGGTTATCAGGACGGCATGCCGTCGGAAAAAAATGATAAGAATGTGGTTTATTGGATATGTCCACAACATTTTGTACAGTACGTGGTTAAGGTTTCTACTGTTTCTATTTCATACAGAACATTCATGATATAATGGGTAGTGTTTCCGTGTTATGACAGTGTGACTGATACAAGTTACCATATTATCATAATATAATACAGGAACTAGGGAGGGGGAGAGGGGGCCAAAAATCAGTACAAATACGTTGGGTCTTATAACATAGTCATTAGTCATGTATTATATCTGAGACCTGCAATTTTGCACATGGTATGCTGTATTTGTAACTACTCATTCGAAAATTCCGTCGCCAAAATTAATAAAAATATATTTCTAGAGGCCACACCCAATCAACATTGAATTTCGTATACTCGTGTTTGTGAACATGCTAGAAACTCCATTTTAACACGGATAGTTTAATATTTAAAATATTTCAGTTGATGTGGAGGTATGGGACCACGTAGTTGGACTCTACCCTTATCTTATCGACTGTGTGACCTGCAATTCTAACGAGGTATGTTGCTATTATCTTATCATTTAGTCCGGTTTTAAAAATACCATATTATACCATTATCATGATCAGGTCATGTTTTTTTAATGGTCGGTCAACAAGATGTTACAATTTTACTCCTACTCGACTGCCAGACAGTGAATACTAAAATAGTGGTAGTGATTTAATGTCAGGCTATGAATGGCCATTGTGAATTGTGATCATTTATTTTACACTGTAACACTGTCAGAATTCACACGTAAGCTGCTAAATTAATTTCCTGTGTGCCACCTGACATCACAGATCTCGGTTTCAAATGACTGAAGTAATGTAGAAGTAGGGAATGTACTATGTAGGGGGGGCCAACGCCCCAAAAGGCCCCACATGACACATATCGAAAATCCGAAAAGGGCCCTAGAAATCGGGGCCTTTTGACCCTGTCCACTATTTGATAGTGTTTATGGACCATAATCTCGATGTAAATACACTTGAAAATAAACATAAAAGTACTGTGCAAGTAGTCAGATAATATCATTAAAGCACTTCCTAAAGCAGAAGGAAACCCTGCCCTTCTTAGAAAGTTCTACAGAGAACTCACCCATGCTATTTCAGTTCCTGCATCTCATGAATTGTTTGTTTGTGGTGATCTCAACAGTAAGTTGGGAACCTTATCTCCTTTGGACTATCAGTATGGTGTAACAGAGTATATGGGCAAGTTTGGAATGGGTACAAGGAATTTCAACGGTGAACATTTATTAAACTTCATGTGCTTAAACAAACTGTTTGCTACCAATACCTATTTTGATCATCCTTGTAGACATCGAACTACTTTCTCTATGTGTATTTCTGCCAAAGGTCGCCCTAAAGGTAGCAAACTTACTCGTCCAGTCTTTGCCCAATTAGATTATATTCTGTGCAGAACACGCAGCAGATTCATGTTCCAAGATTGTAGAGCATATGGCGGTCTTGCTACTAACTCAGACCACAGACTCGTTGCTTGTAAGATCAAACTAGCCCCCTACTACAAAATCTTTCCTACAAAAAAGATAAGTTCAGTAGTTAAGAGATATAACAACTCCCTGCTCACCACTGACCTTCCCACCAAAGTCAAATACCAACTTTCAGTCGAACAGAAAGTCAACAACTCTCAGGTAACATCAAACCCTAATGATGATCTCACTAACCTGATGGATGTCCTTAAGACAACTGCTGATGAAGTAATCGGGACACTACCACGCTCCAGAAACCGTAACTTCAGTAGTGACTCAACTGTTGAAGCCCTTGTAAAAGAGAGACAAACCCTGCAAGCTGCACTTAACTGTAACAACCAAGTTGCTGACAGAACTCAAGTCCGTACAAGGATCAACAGGTTACAGAAAGACATCCGTAAGCATCTCAAGAACCTTGCTGACACACGTGCCGATGACATCGCTCGAACCATCATGTCAACAGATGACACAAGGCAGATGTTTGAAGCTGTGCGTACTCTAGCTGACACTAAGCCCAAATCTACTATCAGTGTCCACAATGAAGAAGGTAACTTTGTTGCCACAGATGCTGGTAAAGCTCAAGTGATCAGAGACTACTACGAAAAGCAGTTCACGTGTGATGATGAACCACTTCAAGCATTTATAGGGGATGGACGCTGCCTAGACATACCCATCACATGTGATGAAGTAAAGAAAGCCGCCCAATCTCTCAAGAACAACAAAGCCACTGGTCCAGATAAAGTCTACAACGAGTGGTTGAAAAATGCTGGTACAAAATTCTGGTCAAAATATGCCGAGATCATCAATAGCGCATTGGAGACCAATTCATTTCCTGATGTTATAGGTGAAGCCATCATCACCCCCTTACCGAAACCTCGCAAACCAGCTGGTCCTGTCACTAGTCTACGACCTCTATGTCTATCAAATGGTGCTCGTAAGATATTATCCATGATTGTACTGAAGAGAATTGAAGACAAAGTTGATGCTTTCACTGGTAGCACGCAGGCGGGGTACAAACATGGTAGAAGTTGTGGTGATCTAGTGTGGGCTGAGCGGATGTTGATATCGGTTGTCACGCGTAAACACTTCCAGTATCACAAGATGGGCATAGATATGTCTCGAGCATTTGACACAATCAAACGCCAGACTATACTTGACCTTCTTGTCAAAGCTGGATGCACAGACGACGACCTCAGGCTAGTAAGACTCCTCTTAACCAACACCATGCTCAAGGTCAGAGTGGAAGGAGAACTATCTGCTGTATTCGAGAGTCTTCTTGGGTCCTTTCAAGGTGACAGTCTCTCCGGCAAGCTTTTCACTCTTGTCCTAGCAGGAGCTCTTATAGAACTACGCCATCGACTAGCAGAGTCTCCCCCACACATACCCAATCCCCCTATTTCAAAAGAAGGTATGCCACTGGAGTCAGCGTATTCAGATGATTGTAACTTCATGAACGTGGAAAAAGAATCCTTAGAAGCTATCCTACCAATAGCTAAGGAAGTCTTCAAGGAGTTTAACCTGTTCATTAACACAGAGAAAACAGAATTTACCCATGTTTTCCTCGCTCCTGTTGGAGAAACAATCCCTGGTCGTGATGATACCATGTTACGTGGAAATGAAGATTGGCGGAAGAGTAAGATTCTTGGGTCATTGTTGTGTAGTGAAAGTGATATAGCTGCTCGATGCATTGCTGGGAACAATGCCTTCTATAAGTTCACCAAGATCTGGTCTCAGCAGAATATCTCCGTTACCAGTAAGATAGCAGTATACGAAGCCCAAATTGTATCAATCATCATGTACAATTGCAGTAGTTGGTGTCCTACTGCAAAGTCACTAGAAAAACTAGACATTTGCCATAGAAAACACCTTAGATCATTACTGAACATTTATTGGCCTCATGGAACAATATCAAATGCAAACTTATACCTAAGATGTAACTCAGTTAAGCTATCAGATCGTGTCCCTAAAGCAAGGTGGAAGCTCCTAGGTCATATCTTGCGTAGTGCTGATGACTCCCCCGCTGCATTAGCGTTAAAGTTTGCTGTCACAACAAACTGTAAAGGGCGCGTCGGTGCGCATCGTAAGAATTTGTTCAAGATTATTGTGAATGATTTGACCCGTAGAGGTTTAAAACTTAACTCTTTGAATGATCTTAATAAGCTTAAGATATTAGCCGATGATAGAGTTGCTTGGAGAAACAAATTTTAACTCTAGCTGTCTTGATCTGTACTGATCACCATTTTAGGATGACTTGATTTCTTTTAGGGGTTTTGAATATTTTAATGGTGTAAACAGTTTCTTAATAAAGCACTTAGCTATATATCAAACTTGATGAAATTGAAGTTAATTCTAGGGCCCCAAAAGGCCCTACACATATCGAAAATCCAAAAAGGGCCCTAGAAATCGGGGCCTTTTGGGGCTTTGCCCCCCCCCCCCCCCCTATGTAGAAGTAGGGAATGTAAGATTGAAATACATGCTGCATCATGGTATGGTCTAGACTCTAGACCTGTGTCGTGAATACTCCGTATTATGTATCAAGTTCTTGATTTAATACGTTCCACTTTACAGTTTCCAGATAATATTATTAAGTTTACAGTGTTAAAATAATATTATGCACATGTGATTTACCTTACCTACCTTAATTAGGTGAATCACATACCTTGAAATTAAACTAGACTTCAAGGGATGTTTTAAGGTTCTCTAGGTACTCAGGAAAGAATACATTGAAATTAACTAAGAGTTTAAGATCGAATGCGTATAATAATTATAGTATTCTAGAAGATTCCGTTAAATCAGTTTCCTTCTAACAGTTACCTATCCTCAGGTGCGGGACACACTAAAAGAAGCACTGCATAGATTCAGAGATCTGCTCGTCCCGCCAAAGTTAGCGGCAGACGAGACTGAGACTGATGGGGTCGACAATAATGATCTAGAACATGTCTCTAACGAACCAGCAAAGTCAGACCCTGCTTGCTCTGAAGGAACACAGACAGTGGAGGTGTAAAGCGGGAATCTCGTGCTGATATAGTGAAGGTAGCATGGGCCGTTACGAACAGGGCTCAGCTCCGTCTTCCGAACCAGAAACAATATAGATGCGCCACGGTGTTCCATCTATTGAGGAACGGTTGATAGCGCCATCGGTTCCAGTGTCAGGAACCTGGTTCAAGCTGTTTGAGGAACCAGAAGCAGGCTCCAATTAGTATAGAACTAGCATGCGAATCGTGCCAGGATTATGTGTTATTCAAGGCATCTGAACTTGAGGATCAGCTGACTGAGCTTGACCACAAAACCGACAGAAAATGAAACATGATCACCACTAGAACGAGGTAGATTTAAACAGACGCTGAGAACAGAAGAAATTTGTCCTCACAGAAAAACGAACTTATATACTTTGGATTCAAGGTGGTTGGAAATGAGCAGAAAAACATCTAGATCCAGAAGGATGAGACTTGTGTTTGTACAATTAGTCCGCTGTCGGATTGTTCGTGTGTTAGCGTTCTGGAAAACTCTTATAGTGAATACTTTGTTTTGTACTGACATGAAAGTTAAAGGATATTGGGTTAAGGGGTTCTCTCTTGGTACAAGGAATTAAAGTTGTCATTGTAGAGTGGGGCCAAATTAACTTCACAAGAGTAATTCCTGCTGGTTTTTATCTGTGAATTTTATGGGAGAAGGTTTAGTTATTTCGGCTACCCTCTTTCTGATGTGTATGTTGAATTCTGTATGTTAGTTGGTAAGGTCATACATTTAAAAAGGAGGAGAAGTCAATATAAATTCATTAATGTTAATTATGTAACTGATGTGCACTTTTGTTTAAGTTAAAGTAGTAGAAAACCGACTTAGGTTAGAACGATTAGGTTAAAGTCAGGGAATACTCCTGCCAAACTTCGCAACTGATGCAGGCCAAAAATATTAGAGGAAAACATTAGATCTAACTTTTAAAGATTATTGCTTTAATATTTAATAAATATATAGATTTATATATATGATTGGGTCGTAATCCGTGACATATTGTATGCTTTAAATTTAATCTTTGAGGAATTGAAATGCGATTGTCCTTTTAGTTGTAGTTTAATACCTAAACGAATGATAACATACTTGATTTCGTTAAATGTATAATTTTTGGTTAAAGCCATTCTAATGGAGGAAGTTAGTTTACGCAATTCCATTTTAGTTACCAATCCCTTTAATGATTTGAAAAAATTGAGCTGCTAGTAATAACGGAATTTCCGTTTCATTACAAAATGAAGCAAGTGTCCTTACTTCTAGATAGATATAGATACGATTTAATATCTAATTTTGACAGTAAACATTCCTTAGTTATTTTGTTTTGGACAGCAAAATACAACCGTATAAAAGTCGAAACCTCAAATATATAAAGTACTATGTAAAAGATTACATGCATTGAATAATATATAGTATTTACTCAATCTGTTAAGCTGAAACTGTTAGCCCGTTTGAAGCAGCAAGATCTATTCGAATTAGACTTGCAAATAACTAACACAAAACTAAATTAACTAGGTTGCTGCCCGTATCATTTTTATTTGAGACAACGCCACGCCCCCCCCATTTTTATCACTTAACAAGCGCTTTTATTTGTGATGTAGTGGCCAGTAAAATTAATCCCATATATAGTATAAGAAAATAAAAAACGTAAACACTAAAAAGAGTTAAACTTAATTAAGTAATTCACGGCGTAAAATAAATAAAACTGTTTGTCTAATAAGATAGAACATTGATAAATTCCTTATCACGGTTTAAAAAAATGGAGAGATCAATGAAAGGTACTAAAATCGCTGTAAAGCTGTTATGTTATCAAATGATCTTAATTTTTAAAAGGAACTCAGATATAACTCACTATTTCACGGACCAATTATGATCACAATGACCCTTAAATAATATTCAAAATTAAAAACTTGAATCAGACAATGCAATCCCGAGTCTACAACTCCAAACCACTTATACTCCGACCCTCATATTCTACCCTACTGTATAACTCCATTCTCTAAACAATGTCCTAGATTCATCTCATTCTGACCAGTAACCGCGATTATCAATACCTTCACTCGTGGGATCCTCGAATGGTAGAACCAGACCTGGGTACAACAAACCACCTGTGCATGTGGAAATATGTTTAACATAATATCTGAGAGAATATGTTAATTAAGGGACAGTGTAAGTAGAAATATGGCGGCGAGTTTTCTAGAACCCATAGTTTAAACAACCGTGTTTAGAATGGTCGTGTGTACTATTCACAGTGTTGGGTAAAACTTTTCAGGATTTCGTTTATCTTTTAAGAGTTCATTTAATGTTATCTGTACCTTTAGTTGGTCACACACGACGGCCTTGATAAGGTTTACAAAGTATAAATTAAATGGACCGGTCAGTGGTTATTCATATTATTAGTAAGGAGAATATCAACTTTAAATGAAGTCCCTGCAGCTGCTGTCTCTAAGTCCTATTATATCCATTTAACCCTCTGTACTGTACAGATGGTAGAATTCTAACAAAGAAACAGGGTTTTTCAAGTTTACACCAAGCAGAAAAGTTCACAATAACATGCTCAATAACCACACAAAATACAACGAATACAACTTACATAGCCTATATTCTATGATTCTACTTTTCAGAACCTCAAATATCCTGAGAAAAACTCAAATGACAGAAGACGTAATATGATTGTGGCAAAGCATTCCATGATCTATGAACGGAAATATCAAGTTATCAAATGAATGTTATAATACCTGGCACTGTCAGATGCTGCATTCTCTTCTGGCCACCTGAAGGTAGATTAGAGTTTTAACATAAGGGGTTGTTCACATATTACGTAATCAGCCGAGGGGGGAAGGGGGTTTCCAAATGATTACGCTAGTGTAATTTTGACACAATAGCTATGTGTAAAAATGATTACGGAGGGGGAGGGGGTTAAAAATTGTCCAAAAAGTGATTATGTAATAATATGTAAACGACCCCTAATTAAGATTGTACTAACAAAATCAATTTAATCAAATTTCATAATCAGACATTCAATTTAAAATGAAACCGAATGCCATTCTTTAATATAAAACATCAAAATGATAAGAGAGCTGGTTGTTACCTTGGCCTCGGCCACAGTCGTCCACACTGGATCCGGAGCCAGAGAAATCCCAGTAGTTTGGTCTACTCAGTGGATCTGGAAAGCAATTATTAAACAGTGTCTGTACTGTGTACTGTACACAGTGTACTGTTTACTATGTACTATGTACTATGTACTGTGTACTGTGTACAGTGTACAGTGTATTATGTACTGTGTACTATGTACTGTCTACTGTGTACTGTGTACTGTGCACTGTGTACTGTGTACATGGAAATGTAATATGTGCTCTTCAGAGATGTAGAAATCCAAACGATGAACATGAAGTTGAACTTGAGTTTTCAGTGGACCCAGTTCCATTTTATAATCTTATCTTAACCATAAATGTACATTTTATGATTTTCATGAATATAATAAGTTGCGGACTGATACATTTCTCTATTTCACTCAGGAAAGTAAGATAATATGCATTACATATTATTTCACATGCAGTAATTAAGACATAATGTAGTTGGCTAGCAGTTGTTTGATGCTGTAATGACATTGGCAGATTATTGAGAGTGGACACTCAGACTTGACACAAGCTGAGAGGGTCACAAGATGTGTACTCTTTCCCAAAGATGCTGTGATTTCCCTTTCTGGGTTATTCTCAGCCGTTTAGCACTAAAATCATGCTTACTTATATGTTCAGTCAGACACATGACATATTGTTCTGAGATGAGGTAAAGAGGTAAGGTAGAGTAACAGCAACCACAACCTGACCACTTAGTCATACATCATGACCACGTACTATTTGCTACTAATTTCAATGGTTGTAATACATCGGCGTGACGTCACGTACGGACGTTTTCAGATCTGAACGTTCCACACTTTCGCAATGTGTGGCAATTAGGTAAGCCAAGAAATAACACGATTGCTATTTTCTTATCTTACAGAAGTACTTAGTTGATTCATGTGATAAGACTTTTTTATGGTCTAAGAATAGTAACTTACCTTTCAAAGGCTTATTCGAGTAATGACGTTATTATATCATGCTGTTTACATTTTTGTCAGATGTAATCCAGAAATAGCTCTTTAAACAACAAATTCAATTTTCTAGCGAGTAATGCGCTGACAAAATTCTATTAATATTATTATATCCGCATAATTTGCAAAACTTTTCTGACATCATAAATTTGATTTGCAGAGTCTTATTTTTTCTTAGATTTCCGAATTGTTATCGGTAAAATAGGTTGACATCCAAGTTTTATTTCTGCACTTTCCTTTATTGGGACACGATAATAATGATATAAAGTTTGAATGGTATGTTGAGGATTATGTAGTAGTGGGCTTATACATTCCACACTTGCATTGTCACTTACAACTTTGGGCTGGGAAGTAATTAATCTAACCCTGCATGCATTGGTACAAGTACGAGCTGAGCAAGTAAACTGGATACAATGGGAGACACCATTACACTACTTACCTGAGTAGGGTGCTGCTATCGAATATAATGGGATATGTTTATAAAATATCTTAAATTATGTCTGAGAATCCACATAATATCTTAAATTGTTATATATCAGTAGTTGTTGACTAGACCTGTAAACCAGGGATCATGTTCCGGCAAATATTTGTCTCAAACATCCCGCTTGCCAACAGAGAAATTGCCAAAATTAGAGAGTAATTCCCTTGGGAGTTGGTCAAGAAACATGCCTACATGCAACATGCCGACGTTTCTGGCTTAACACATATTTATAGTTTTCAACACGTTACATACTAAACTTTTAACTTGAGCCAAGTTTGAACTTATGTATGGCTTTTTATACTTTTAGTATGAGTTATTTTAAAGTATTATGTTATGGGTTTCCATAAACCAACTGTCCAAGGATTAGAATGGGTTATATATATATTATTATAACCAATAACAATGGGTATTCACAGAAAGGCAAACTACTCAATGTAATTGAGGGATTACATTTTACATGTACTATTTTCTTCGTCGGGAGACTTCAACAACATTCTATCTTACCCTCATGTTAAGTGTAATGTAACGCCCCACTGTTGTTAAATGCTAATTCATTATACATACCTGCATTGCATCATCCATGCTACGGACCCATAATACAAGCTTTTTAGGTTAAACCCCAATTTACTGGGCCTGGGGTTGTCGGGGAAAATAACTACACCCGGCGCGGTAAATGAGGGTTTTACAGTATGAATCTCCGAATATATTTGCATTTCACATGCAATTCTCGTGCCACATGACTCACATTTTAAAAACAGCTGAAACTGTGCCACTTTTATAGGGCTAAAAGGCTTTTCGTGCATCACATTAACTCTCCGGTTAATGTCATCATTTATTTTCCAATATTTTCAAGAACTATCTGTGAATTTTTGATACAAGATACTAAAACACAGTTTTTCCTTACAACTCTACTTTATTTTAATAATATGAACACAATAGCAATAATTCTGAAGAAACCCGGGACTTGATATAAGAAATATCTGAAATAAAAACTTTCAGAAACAAATAGAACCTATGCGGTTGTTCACATAATATTACGTAATCAGCCGAGGGGGGATAGGGGTTTCCAAATGACTGCGCTAGTGTAATTTTGACACAATAGCTATGTTTAAAAATGATTACGGAGGGGGAGGGAGGGGGTTTAAAATTTGGCCAAAAAGTAATTACGTAATGTGTGAACCCCTATGACATTACGTCATCTACCCAACAATATCAACTATGTTAGATAACATAATTCAAATTGGAAAACTGTGAAAGAGAACCAATTAAGGTAATAAAATCTCTCATCTGAAAAAATACAAAATTTGGTTAAAAAACAACTGAAAATTCCTCGTTATTGGTTAATATAACAAGAATAATCAATAACTGAATTCTGTAATCCTGAACTGCAGAATTTATTTTAAAGATTAGTAAAAAATTCGTGAAGATGTGCGTGTGCAGGCTGATTAACGTTGACTGGTCGTAGAAATCAAGCCAAATAAAGTAACTACCTACATGACAAAATTAGCGGTAAAGCAAGCACACAATATATTCTAGACTTTACTAGTGCCGCTAAAAACTCGTACGATTTCTGTAAATTGCATATTTTCACATTCATTAAAATATGGGAGCCAGCAGATTGCCGACCACAATGAATAAAATTTGTCAAAACAGTCGTTACAGAATTCATCTGAATGGCATGGAATTAATTGTGATAATTGATAATTAAGAATGAGGTGAGTAATATGAGGCCTTCGATTGTCAGGGTCACTGGTCAGGTCCGTTATTAGGCCAGGGCCGATAAGGTAAAAGTTTGTTCTATCTAACATGCACAGTGTACAATTCTTATTTGCTTCGTATTCAAACTAACAGCGATGCTAAAGCCGAAGAGGTTGTCGAGAACTCTCAGAAGACTCAGAATCTTATCTTGATCTACTGTAGCTGTTCTTGTATGTGTATACTCTGCTAGACTGCTACCACTGAATCAACAGTTCAACTCTTCAACAGTTCAACTCTTCAACATTTACTGTTTTCTTTACTATGCTAGGTGCTTCTTTGTAGAATCTGAAATGAAAGTAAAAACTATGGAAAGGGATTCAATGGTATCGACTGGCGTTCAGCTGTAAGTTTTGAGGAAGTTCAGCTTCTGTTAACAGAATCCAACTTTCACAGCTGTGTACAGGTAGCAATCCAGATAGTATAATGTATCGAGTATCGACATAGTATTATCATAGTGATCAGACTTTTAAGTGATTTAGATTCAAAATACAAATATGAAATTGATAGGATCACAAAAGATATTTTGGTTCCACCAATCACAGTTAACGGTATTATGTTATTGATTGATAATTGAGATTAGTAATCGATAGAATATTTATCCTTCACCCACCAAGACAGTATAGATTTCAGATAATAATTATAACAAATTATGTGAGTGACAATAATTGATCACGTTGCGTAACTTCACGAAATTCACGAGACGGACAGCATCATTAAATTATTATCAATTGATAATTGAGATCACGTACAATGTATGACAACACAATAATGTTTGAGCAAGTCAGTGATTGAGATTTTTAGCAATCATTTTCACGCACAAAACAAGAAATCTTGCCTAAAACGACAAATTACATTCGTCACGGTACAACCGGAACATCAACCGGTACGACCGGTACAACCGGTGCAATCGGAACCTCGCTGTTGGTCCAGCCTATTTTTCGTTTAACTTTTTTTTCTGAAACTGGGAACAAAAATGTGTGATAGAACTGTACCTCACACAATAAAAGCACACCACTTGAAAACATTAATTTGATCGGTGCTCCAGTTCACTTATCTTCATCCTCTTAGCTAATAAATAAAAAACATCGCTGACACCCTATTTGGCTACGTCTTCAAGTGCTGGCGAGAAACTCATGGCACACACGAATTACATTAGTAAAGATTAAAGATCTAAAGCAGATGAAGATTGAAGAATGGCTGAAAAGTACAAACTACAGCATCATTAATTAAACTCACCACAATTCTCAGCGGGGTTGCCAGAAGACGGGTCAATTTCCATGTCGCTATCAACTTGTGTAACAATAAACCTGGGGTGTGACACTGTTACATTCTTACATTTTTTAGTTTCTTTTCAGCCCAACATTACAATTCCCAGCACTTTGATAGTAAAATGATTCGAGAAAAATATAAAATATTGATTACTTTGGAGGGTTGATAAACATAACCAAAGAAACAAAGAAAAGGCCGACGGTGACTGTGCTATGAAGTAACGAGTTCCTAGTTCCTATCTGGATATTACACAATCACAAGTTATGAGAGGACCGCGTGAAATTAGTAGAAAATTGTTTTTTTATCAGCTTATAGCAGCTGAAAGAAACCATGGAAATTAAGAGCCTCATCCTTCCTTCGAACATCCTGACTTCTGACACAGATATAGCACCAGTTTGTACAGATTTTTTTTAAATCTAGACACTTATTTTACTTCGGAGTATTCCAACAGCCATATTGTTACACAAGTGCAACCAGCCAATTACAGGAAGCCGAAGGATTTGTTTTTTTAGCCAGTGACGGTTAAGGTAGTGTGTACCATACTTTCTTCGCCCGAGACTTTGCTGCAATGTGCAGCTCCTCATTTAACCCTCACACCCGATTTCTCGAGTATTCGGCTGAGTAGACCGGGGGGCTGCATAGACCACTCACGATCCTTAGCTGAATGTCAACGACACTCACCCCACGACCAGGCAGGCAGTGGGATTTGAACCCGCAATCTCACGATTGCAAAGCTGGCTAACCAACTGCGCTACCTGGCCGTTAATTTAATTAATTGACAAATACTCTTCGATCGAATTTTTTTAAAGTTCTACATACACATTTGCACTGGTTGAGGTTATAGAATTAACATGTATATTGTTTATACGAGATGTATCGCCGGTATCCCTGTGGCCTGAATCCCAGAAACAAATTGGATATGTCCTTGGCGCCAAACAATTGTAGAATTGTGGGTCTTTTTAGAAAGTTCTCGAATAGATGATTAAAACTACAATTAACATACGTAAGTCTACCTGAAACAAACAAACTGTCACATCACGTGTAATATAATGTACCCCGTCCACATACCTGTTGTTTATACAGGTAGGAGTGGGAGGCTCAATATTCAGCTGAACTGGGGAGGGAACAGGGGAGGCAGGAGTCAGGTCTAACTCGGGCAGACTGATCTGATCACTGGGTGCTGGAGCTGAACCCCTTCTAACCACCACCTTCTCCTCTTTAGAGACACTGGATCCGGAACTAGACAGGCGTGGTTCTGAACCACTGAGAGGAGGTGTGAGAGAGATTAGTTTCAGGAGATACTTCATCAGATAAAGAGAGAAAGCTTCAGATAAAGAGTGCTGGAGATAGACAGTGCTTTTTTTTAGAGTTTTCAGATAATTGCTTTTAGAATTACCACGACATGATTTGCTCAGCAACTGTTTCATGAAAAATCGAGTTATCGTTTGATGAATTAGGATAAGCCGATTGGGCTCCTGCCATCTTTATTGGCTAAATTTGTAGCGACAAGAATGCTAAACGTTATCAAATATTCCACATATTTCGTGCTAACTGCTAGTTCTTGCACAAAAATTGCTTGATCTGATACAAAAGCGATGAACTTCCGAAATTTAAACGATATTGTATTACCGATAATCTCAACTCGATAATTGTTTGATGCAAAACCGGTTTAATTTGATCAGAACAGACTGTACGTGTTGTACAATGTGAAAAATGATTTAACATAGAAACAGTTGCTAGCAATAAACTTAACAAAGTAATTGCACACAGATTATTAGCTGCCACAAATCCAACAGCGGACACATTAAATTTAAATGATTTGAATTATTAATTGAACAGCAGGATCAAATATTGTTAACTGAAACCCCAACAGAAAGATAACCTACTTATGAGTACTATAGTCATCCGGAGCAGATCCATCAACTTCAATGTTATTCTTGTTGTGGGACCTAAAATCAAGGAATCACATCATGCCAGGTTAAAGTGATTACAAGGCATGCAGTTAAACACAGTTTCAACACGCAATAATGAGATTAGATAAGATAATTTAATAGGGCGTGCGCTAGTATGTACAAACGGTCTGTAATATATATATTACTAGAAACCCGCTAGTCGAAAGCTTTGTTCGAGGAAATTTAAAAAATCAGTTATGTTCAAAAAGAAGGGTCGGTTTTTGGTCGATTTTCAGTGTTTTTTCTTCTGTCCCCGTTGCCGGGGGGATTTCGTCAAGTTTAAAATACATTATATATAGATATATATATATATTTCATTGCTGAACTTCTACACAATAAAAAAAAGCGGTTTTGACCGCTGAATTATCAATTCAGCAAGAATTGCTTTCAGTTTTAAATAATTTCAAAAAGTCACGTCCATTTTAACAGATATAACTGGGTCAACAACATTCTAGCCACCTTATCTCCAAAATGGTGAAACTGGCATGACTCACGAACTAAACCTATTAAAACGTCACCGAGGTTTCTAATTTAGCAATTGATGTATCACGTAAAATCAGATACGGCTACAGACAAAGCACAACTAGCATACAGATAACAAGTACACAGCGTAGCCCCACAAACCTCTTGCTTTTCAGGTTACTCTTCAGCTTCTTAGGTTTCTTATCCTTGGGTTTAGGGTCCGATAGATCGTCAGCGGAGTTGTAACGCTTCGTTATGTTGGCGTCTGAGAACTGAACCTGGGAGGTGGGTAATATTAATATTATAATTATTATTACAATATTGACATATTATGTCAATTATATTTGTGTGCGGGGTTAGCACGGTGGGTCGAAAGGTATCAGCTGGAAATGTAATTGTTAGTGTAAGAATAATCATATTATATTATATACCCATTATATAATGTGTAATCTACTAAGAGCTGAGAAGCCGCAAAAACTACACACAATTCTAGACTTTTATAAGACAAATCCCACGATCATTCGAGAGTACTGTTAGATAAGCAGATAAGATCAAGGCCCCCATTTATCTTGCAGTAACTTTATTCTTACAGTACGAGGACGGACACGATAGATCTCGTTATCATTTTCATACGACCACACTCGTATCAAATGATAACTCCCATATCCCTTTTCATAGTGTGATCCCTGAGAATTGTTGATTATTGAGAATAAATGTTCCTTATTGAAGATGTGGGAAATCTGAAAAAGATAAAATTAACCATAAGTTGAGTAACAATTGTTGCTGACTCTCATGTTCTAACCTTATTCCTGTCCCAGACAGATCTTATAGTACATGAGTTAGTCGGTACCAGAGCATGTAACTCTGTTTGTTTACTTGGAGTCAGTACGACGCAGTGTGAATGTCGTCTCAGTTTGGTCCTGTTCTTGGTTTGTTCTGTGGTTTGTCCGTTTGTTCGTTTGGTTGTTTGTTCTCTAGTTTGTCCTTTAATGTGTTCTGACTGTACAACACAAACACTCACCGATCTTGATCTGTCTCTATAGTTGATTGGAGCAGAAGTGTCCCCGAAGATGTTCCGAACATGATTTCTGCGTTTGTCAGGGTTGGTGATGTGGATGGTGGCTCCGGCTGGTATGTGGTTGTGTGGCACGGTGTCAGCGAATATTCCCATAACGGTGGGACGGGTTCCAGCATGTTGCGGGGTGGGCAAACTGGGGAGAGAGTGGGAGTTATTGTCTGGAAATATAGGAGTAGTCTTCAGGGTAACAAGAGTGGGAGTTATTGTCTGGAAATATAGGAGTAGTCTTCAGGGTAACAAGAGTGGGAGTTATTGTCTGGAAATATAGGAGTAGTCTTCAGGGTAATAAGTGGGAGTTATTGTCTGGAAATATAGGAGTAGTCTTCAGGGTAACAAGAGTGGGAGTTATTGTCTGGAAATATAGGAGTAGTCTTCAGGGTAACAAGAGTGGGAGTTATTGTCTGGAAATATAGGAGTAGTCTTCAGGGTAACAAGAGTGGGAGTTATTGTCTGGAAATATAGGAGTAGTCTTCAGGGTAATAAGTGGGAGTTATTGTCTGGAAATATAGGAGTAGTCTTCAGGGTAACAAGAGTGGGAGTTATTGTCTGGAAATATAGGAGTAGTCTTCAGGGTAACAAGAGTGGGAGTTATTGTCTGGAAATATAGGAGTAGTCTTCAGGGTAATAAGTGGGAGTTATTGTCTGGAAATATAGGAGTAGTCTTCAGGGTAACAAGAGTGGGAGTTATTGTCTGGAAATATAGGAGTAGTCTTCAGGGTAACAAGAGTGGGAGTTATTGTCTGGAAATATAGGAGTAGTCTTCAGGGTAATAAGTGGGAGTTATTGTCTGGAATTAATATAGGAGTAGTCTTCAGGGTAATAAGAGTGGGAGTTATTGTCTGGAAATATAGGAGTAGTCTTCAGGGTAACAAGAGTGGGAGTTATTGTCTGGAAATATAGGAGTAGTCTTCAGGGTAACAAGAGTGGGAGTTATTGTCTGGAAATATAGGAGTAGTCTTCAGGGTAATAAGTGGGAGTTATTGTCTGGAAATATAGGAGTAGTCTTCAGGGTAACAAGAGTGGGAGTTATTGTCTGGAAATATAGGAGTAGTCTTCAGGGTAATAAGTGGGAGTTATTGACATTGTCTGGAAATATAGGAGTAGTCTTCAGGGTAACAAGAGTGGGAGTTATTGTCTGGAAATATAGGAGTAGTCTTCAGGGTAACAAGAGTGGGAGTTATTGTCTGGAAATATAGGAGTAGTCTTCAGGGTAACAAGAGTGGGAGTTATTGTCTGGAAATATAGGAGTAGTCTTCAGGGTAATAAGTGGGAGTTATTGTCTGGAAATATAGGAGTAGTCTTCAGGGTAACAAGAGTGGGAGTTATTGTCTGGAAATATAGGAGTAGTCTTCAGGGTAACAAGAGTGGGAGTTATTGTCTGGAAATATAGGAGTAGTCTTCAGGGTAATAAGTGGGAGTTATTGTCTGGAAATATAGGAGTAGTCTTCAGGGTAATAAGAGTGGGAGTTATTGTCTGGAAATATAGGAGTAGTCTTCAGGGTAACAAGAGTGGGAGTTATTGTCTGGAAATATAGGAGTAGTCTTCAGGGTAACAAGAGTGGGAGTTATTGTCTGGAAATATAGGAGTAGTCTTCAGGGTAATAAGTGGGAGTTATTGTCTGGAAATATAGGAGTAGTCTTCAGGGTAATAAGTGGGAGTTATTGTCTGGAAATATAGGAGTAGTCTTCAGGGTAACAAGAGTGGGAGTTATTGTCTGGAAATATAGGAGTAGTCTTCAGGGTAACAAGATTAAAATGTAAATATCGACTACTTTATTACATTTCAATAAAACTAGTAAACCCTTGAGAAAGCAGTTGAGTGATTATGTTTAATGTAAATAAGTTTTATAATTAATAATAATCGTATTTTCACGTACCTCATGCCGTATCTGTACTTATTTCTAGAGAGAACCTTGTGTGCCTCAGTCAGCCTGTCTATTTTATCTTGTGTTAGGTGAGAGTTGGATCCGAACACACCAGATCCCAGATCACCAACCCTCAGCAAACCTGCGAATAATTCTTATTATATGAACTTCTAGAATTAATAAGAATATAAAAATTGGAGGGCATTGCTTAGAATACAGTATATATTATACATATTATAGTCTCATATCAGCTTTACTATTATTGGCACCATATTTTCACGCACTTTAAAAATGTCAATGCCTCACAAAATCAGAAGCTTTTGTCTAAGATTACAAACTAAGTCAGGATCAGGCTTTCCAGCATTTTACACGTCATGGAACAATATGAACATGTTTTGTATAGGATGTAAGTCAGTGAATAATTAACAACATGGGTTGTTGATTTATTGCGTGCTGTTCGTGACGATATTGTATTTAATCTAGAAAGAACAGGAACACTCAAAGTATCCTGGCCTCAACCACAGCCGGCTACAAGGCAGCTTCTCATTTGCTAATTGCACTAATATTTAGAAACCCCGCGGCGCCGAAGCTGGGCGGTACATTTTAATTTACTTGTAGCTGTGACGAAATGGACCAATTTTTGTGATCGTTAATGAAGTTCAATACGCCTAGTTCTGCTAACTCCGTAAGATTTTACAAAAACCCAGTCACGGAATGCGATGAACTTCTTCTAAATCTATATTTAACGATAATTGGCGGTTTATCGCATTTTGCGGGGAAAAAATACCGCAAGGTAAACAGTATTATTGTAAGCATACTTCATGCCAAACCACAAGATAGCGTTAAATATCTGATCATTATTGGTAATTACCCTCATACCAATTACTGCCACTGTTAGTACAATAGTGGAGTACCTGATTCTGCAATTAAACAAATAAACATTAGAATTATTGGCACTTTACTCACTTTAGTTCATTAGGATATAAAGTAACAAATACATGATGTAAAAATTGCTTTATATCTTATCATCTTATTATATTTTATTAGAGAACTGTCTAAAAATATTATCTCTGTCTAGCGGATTCTATCATTTGCCAAAAAATTAAGCCAGCAGTGATGTGATTTTCCATACGCTGGTTTTAACATTTACACCTGTCAGGCCAGGCTAAACAGTAGACATGTAGTACAGCAGACATGTAGGTAAAACCTTGGCCAGAAGTGCCAAATAAACATAAACAGTCAGCCCTGAAGTGTCTAGTTGTCATCTTCAAACCAGATATTTGGTTGCAGAATATGCTGTGTAAATGTACAATAAAACCAAGATGTACTACACAAGTTGTGCTACACAAGATACATCAGCAGCTGTAGTGGTCACCACCAGAGTTGTGGTCTACTTCAACTGAGGCGAGGGTTAGTATCTGTTTGAGATCTAGCAAGCAACCGTGTCATGTTCGTGGTCGGGGTGTCAGGTATGACCTTGAGATCGGCTAACTTCAGAGTGGTGACCGGTGGGCGTAGTAGTAAGTCTATTTATATAAATGTGATATTTTACTGTGTGTTATTAAGACAGCATAATGTGGTTCGTTCAAATTTTGAAGTAAAATATACAAATTGTCAGAACATATCAAAACTCGGCGATAAATTGACTCTTACGAGATGATTCATTTTATTTTGAGGTTGACACTTGACAAGGGCCTGTCAAGTGTACAGGTAATAATTTAACTAAGGAGTCACTCCATAGTCAGAGAGTCTGTCATCCTCACCCAGTTCAGGGTCCGTCACTGAACGGGTCATTTTGTTTCGGAGTACCCAGGCAGTAAACTTATCATCAACAGTTTTGTCACGGAAACTGGAGAGGGGATCAGTTTGTCTACTACTAAAAATAGGACCAGCAACGCTGGCTCTGCGTTTTTTGGGGGTAATAACTGTTTCTTTCCTAATTTCATCCATTATAGTGGAGTTAATCTCTCTAATCGGGCGGGGAATGCTGATTCTACGCTCTCGTCTCGGTGGTATGTGTAAGTAATGTCGGTCGGCTGTCGGTGAACTGTAAGTCCTGTAAACTGTGCTGTGTCCTCTTTGAAGGTCAGTATTTCCGGGAGGAAGAGAGAGAGTTGTTCTGGCTGGTATTGGTGAGTGAGAGAGAGGGGTGAGGGGAGGGGTGTACGGGTTCTCTATTACACACTGGCGTCTAGTTCTATCTTGTGCGCCTTGTATTATAGTTTGTGGTAGAGGAGATGTACCTTTTGCGAGACTGCTCTGTGAGGCTGCCATGGATTTCCTCCTCTTTTTCTCTTCTTTCTTCGCTGCGTGTTCTTTGTTGCATAGAAGGGACTCGCTCACAACCTGTAATCGAGATTCAAACTTCAATTCAGGTCAAGTTCCGATAAATTGAAAATATTTTACTTGACTTGCCTCATATTTTGTGACATATCTCAACCAAAATTGAACATAACATTATCTATTTAAAACATCAAAACAGTAGGTAGACGAATGAGTGTAGTTTTAAGACGTTACAACGATTAGATCTCCAAACCTCGGTGTTAAGAGACTTGTACCAGGACCTCTCTGTAGTGAACCTATCATCTTTTATTGGAACCATTATAAGCGGGCTAGCTGGAGCTGAGGAGGGTGCAGGGTGGACTCTGTTATTACTTGTTGAGGGTTCCTGTCGGGGGGCTGGTGTCTGAAGGTAGGGGAACTGTACTGGTTTAGTGTTTAAATAGGCGTTTAGTACAAATTGGCTTAGATCGGCCGATCTAAAACTTATTACAATTGTTACTTATGCGATTACATATCCACAGTTTTATGTTTTAAACTTGCACACTAAAATTCCAACCTCTACGTCTCTACACACATTATACACTTACACAGTCTACAAGAGATAATATAGACACGGAAGCTAATGATCAGAGATAAAGATAAAATCACGCCTCGGATTACCTTAACTGGTACCTCGACTTCCTCTCCCTCTTTCTTATCCTCCTTACTCTCCTCGGAACTACTCAGAGAATCAGAAGACTTGGCAATGCTCTCATCTGACTTGCTGGATGCTGATCCCTCCTCTTCCAGATCGCTAGGAGGCCGGGGATCAGGTCCGAATATTGGCAGTTCCGTGTCCGACTCCTGGATTATATTGGTAGGATGTTGGAGCTCCCAACGGGCCAGCGGGATGCGGGATTCAGACCTGTGGCAAGTTTAAATTAAGCGTTAAGAATTTGAATAAACTTTGTTGTTTGAAATTTTTCGGACCAGCAGGAATTGTTCTGCGTATGAAAGTGAATTCTGTATTATACATGATTAATATTATTAATGTTTTGTATTAAACATGTTTAATGTTTATGATGGCTTGTAGTGTGAACGTTCAACAACACAGCATTCTTACAGTTCATTTTGAGGAGGAAAAAATAAGTTGTTGAAATTATCAACTTAATACGCAAGTTATTACAATCATCACTTGGTAAGTTATTAGATTAAGTAATACAATTTTACACGACCTTGGATCAGTAGTTTACATTTGACCCTAACATTTTTGATAAATACATATTTTTTAGTTACTTCAAATATTTTAACTTTTAAAATTTTGTCTGAGCAACATTATCAGGTTTTCTGTCCCCCTGTGCACATATCAAACACTTACATGATTCATTTACGAATTGATAACAAATGCTCATCACGTTCATTTTCCCAGCGGACAACTGCACAACAATATTTACACATGTCGTACACAATTAAATATTACACAGCATTAACAGTGTATGATCACAGAGCGGGATAACAATGATTAGTGGTAAAACTTTACGTTTTTTCTCGTCGAGCAATGTACTCATTGCCGTTTGAGAGGGGGTCGACGGTGTCATAATCCGAGTTGGGATTATACATTACCCTGCTAGATGGGAATACATATTCGAAATCAGAGTTCCTCAAAGTGCTGTTAATCAACAAAACTAATCTACATTTATAAGAAACGTAACAAAATCTTGGGGCGATAATTTGCCACACAGTTTACGGAAGACTGCACTCTGCACTACGTTATAAATGAAAGATCAATGTTGTAACTAAAAGAAAGTCAGTACCGCGGTACACGTGGCATTGGAATAATCAGATAGATTTCAGATTGTTTTTATGAAACAAAACTTAAGAGTTTAACTACAAAAAATATGGTTCTCACTCTAGATCGTATTGCATGCGTTCTTTCTTTCGCTTCTTTGTCTGTAAACTCCTTTTGTGCAGCTTCAAACAGTGAATGGAAATACCGGAGAACATGATCACCACAAATAAGATTCCAACTATCAGCGCCCCCATTTTAGGGTCTACCTTCAATGGTGGGCTAGGGATGACTTCTGGTGGTCCTGAAGGAAACTAAATTTATTGACAGTTTTTTAAGAATTTGTTTGAAATTCTAGATACATTTTTAAATAGCTAGAATATTATGAATTGACATATGTTTGAGGCACAGAGTGAATGATAAATAAATGATAGGCCATGTACAGCTAAAAGTACATTACCTGTAACATTGAGGAATATGGGGTCAGAGAAATAAAATTTCTCTGAGAGATATAAAACAGCCCAATAGTGCCCTGTTTCTGTCTTAGTAGCATTCTGAAGAAGTGTAATGTCATAGTGCATTCAGAAAAGATAACTTCTAACAGTTTTTCCATCAACCTTTTCCATCTTTGATATTTGATAAATCATAAATGTTTACTGTACGTTATTTACCAGAATTTTAACAGTGAGCAGACGACCAGACGAATTTTGAAACAATCCATTCCACTCTAACCTGTAACAAAAGAGGAATTATTAAAGATTACTCTAGATTATTCAAAGTAGCTACAATAATTATGATATATTTTCACTGGCACAAAAGCATCTTTAATTTAAAATATACCATATTTACTTAGCAGATAAAGGGCTCCATTTCAATTGAATTTACAATTATTGTGATTTAAGGAAACAAAAAAACATAATTACTGTAAAACAATTCAGTATTACTCACTTTGCATCAGTGCACCAACAGTATTTCTCAGTATGTGATTTAACTTCAGTGGCTAGTACAACATCACTACCTTGAACTACACTGATGTTATGCGTCCACAGTGTAAAGTATGAGGTTTTATCAGTTCTGAAAAGATCTTTGTTAAAGATGAAAAATCAAGATATTTTGCCTGAACAAAAGAAGCCTGAAGCACAAAAGGTAGAGAAAGGGATAAAGTAGGCAACAAGTTATAGATCATAATACTTACATGGCCTTTTTGCAAGAGATACTGGTGTCTAGTTCATATGTACTGCAGTGACAGTTAAAGCAAACAGGTTCAATGGAGTCAACTGCAGTGAATATGAGAAGAATTGCTGTCAACAGTAAGAAAATGCTTTTTGTTTGCATCTGACATCACAATTCCATGAGCTCTGGAAATATTATTAAGTGAGTATAAACAGATATTTAGAAGAGGCTAAATTACGTCAGGAAAATGTGGAATTGATACAAACCAATCAGAATAAAACAAATATTATATTCAAATCTCTTTATTCAACAATATTAAATCATTATAGAACCTAATTTTTGGCTTGATCGTTATGTTAGGGCTATTCTGTTAGCTGATGCTGACAGGCACCGCATGGGGCAGAGACTTAGGACCATTACGCTGGAGGCTTACAATGACTCTTTTTGAACCCCATGGCAGTGCTAGTTTTATTATGGTACAGATTGTAAATCGAAGTTATGAAAACGATCAAGTCACTCCTGTTTTACACTATCAACAGCTACTTAAAACAACCTAGATTGTACAACTCACTTTGAGGATTAAACTGTTAAGTGATGAGTGATTGGGCTCATTAAACATTTTAGTAGCGGAGACATGCGGATCAGCTTCTTGAGGTTCTAGTATTTCATTCAGGATTGGTGAATGCAATGTTACTTATTTTGCTCCAAATAAATTTCCCTTTGATTGTGTACTGGAGAGGATGTTTAGAAGACTTCGATTTACTGCTAAATCAAGCTTTTCGTATCACTTATATGTTTTAAATAATCCTGGAGCTCCAGGTCTAGTTACACCTCTTAAAAATGAGTGGGTCAATTTAAATATAATCCATTGTTACACTAATAAGGGTAAAGAATTGGTTCTAATCTCCATCAACCAAGTGGGATTTCAAAATGTTCATAATATTAAAATAACCATGCCTTTTAATTGATTACTGTGCATGCAATCGAAAGAACCAACTATATAAATCCTTTGTTAAAGAGCCTACTGAAAAAAATGAAAAAACTTATAAGCATATGAAAAAGTTTGTTGAAAAACAAGTAGATATTGCGAAAAAGAAGTAGTACGCATCATATTTTAAAAAGCATGCGAGCAATAGCAAATTACAATGGCAAATGATTAATCAAATATTAAACAAGAAATCAAAAGAAAAAATAAAAATAAGTAAGATTAACTATAAAAATAGAGTTATAACCGACTCACAAGATATAGCTGACAGTTTTAATGATTATTTTACTAATATAGCTGAGAACCTAAAGAGCGAAAACAATCTGGTTCGCGGTGCAGGATCAGTAGGACATTCTCTTCCCCAATCTAGTCGATGTGATTTTGATATGGAGCTGGAGGACTCCTCGCCCTCCGAAATTGCTGAAATCATACATGATCTTAAGAACAAATCGACTTCAGATATGAATATACAGCCTCTTAAAAAGGTTTGCAATGTGCTGTCTCCAGTAGTTAATCACCTGATCTCACACTCCCTTCACGAAGGAGTATTCCCCGAAAAGCTCAAACTTGCTAAGGTTATCCCACTCCATAAAGGAGGATCGCGCAGCGAAATTACAAACTACAGACCAATCTCACTTTTGTCCTGCTTCTCAAAGATATTCGAAAAAATAATGCATGCACGTTTAGTAAAGCACCTAAAATCACGTAATATTCTATATGCGTCGCAATTTGGTTTTAGATCGGGTCACAGTTGTGAACATGCGTTGCTTGAAGCTCAGTTTAACTTACATAAAGCTCTAGAAAGGAAGCAAGTGTCAGCATTACTGCTTCTTGACTTCTCCAAGGCGTTTGACCTAGTAGACAGTGAGATACTGCTACATAAGCTGGAGCACTATGGTGTAAGAGGCCTTAGTTTATCCTGGTTTGAGTCTTATCTAACTAACCGGAAACAGTATGTTCACGTCAACGGTTGCAGTTCAGAAAAAATGGGATTGGAACATGGAGTTCCTCAAGGGTCCATTCTTGGTCCTATATTGTTCATTATTTACATAAACGACCTTGCAAATGTAAGCGATATAGCCCATTATATTTTCTTCGCTGATGATGCAAACATCATCGTTTCTGCCGACACGTACACTGAACTGAACATGCGTGCAAACAAAGTTTTAAATACTGTACAGACATGGGTTAAAAACAACGGTCTTAAACTTAATGTAGGAAAAACTAAATACATGATATTCACTAACAGATTACCAGAGGATATAAATATTAGTATAGAAGGACAGCGACTAGTGAAAAGTGAACATGAACGATTTTTAGGTGTCATTATTGACTCAAAACTTAGCTGGAGCCAGCACATTAAACAGTTAAAGACTAAAATATCCAGAAATGCAGGCGTAATGATGAAACTTAAAAGTTCCATTCCGAATAAAGCTCAAAAAATGCTATACAATAGTTTAATTCAATCTCACCTGTATTACTGCGCTACTGTTTGGGGTACTAAATCTTTAAATTCCATTCAGTCTTTATTCTCTGCTCAAAAGAAAGCTATTCGCGCCACTGATTCAGAATATCATAACTATTTTTACGACAAAGAAAAACGTAAACTACCATCTCACACAAAATCCATCTTCAACAAAATATAGGAATTTTGGCTCTTCCTAATCTCATTGCTAAAAGCTGTCTAACTTTGATGCACAAGGTTTATATGGGAGTAGCACCATCGAGTATCTGTAGTATATTTGAAAAATCACCGCTTAGACAAACGGAAAGGAGAAATCCAAAGTATTTTGAAATTAAGTTCAACAGATTACGGATCACCGATTATAGCATCTCTAACGTAGGACCACGATTATATAACAACACGATAAACGAAATAAATAAAATCCTTCCCTTCAACGTACCTAAGTTACAAGATAAGTTTATTAATTCATACAAGGACAACATTGTACGTTACTTACAGGACAAACAAAAACTTGACCTAGAAAACCTTTCGTGGACGGACAAGAACTTTGTCCTTTACAACTTTTAAACAAAATATTAGCAAAATATAACAGCTGTAAGAATCTTAAACGTTAGTGCAGTCAAATAAATGAACTGCGATAATGCATTTGACAGTCAGTCACTGCAATTTATTCTGCAACTTATTTTTCAATTTTCACTGCCACACTTAGGCTTATCTTGCCTACACATTTTTTTTAAACGAAATTCCTTGCGCACCGCGTACTAAAATTACTTGGATTTCTACCGCTTTGATAAATGACTACAAGAAGATGGGGAGTTAATATTGTTGATTTATATAATATAGATTATTTATTCTTTAGTGTAGATTAACTTTATTTTTATATATTTTACCAAGTGTGAAGGATCAACCATACGTTATTTATATTTTTGAAATATTTAACGATAAATTGATATAATAATAAATGATTGTAATATTTTTATTGAGGCACATGCCACCCCATCGCGGGTTTACTACTACTTACTGCCATGTTGAATGGATTGAACAAACGAAAAGGGATTGGTCATTAAATATAAATAAAATTGAATGACAAATAATTCAAAACAGCCTGAACGGTTAACACAAAAGCCTGATAAACTAAATAGCTATTTGCTAACATACCATAGTCTTCACATTTCTTGTATACACTATACATTGGCCAGTAACAGTTAACACATAACATAAACAGTGCCAAGTTCCTACCTTTTTGGTGCGAATGGCTAAATTTTGCCTTATCAAACGATTTTTTGATCTTGTGGAGGTATCCTTGAGTGCAAATTTATAAAGGAAACCGAACACTAGTCTGGAAAATCACTAATCATAATCATGTTTAATAATTTGGTCATTATTGATAAGGGTAAAATTATTAGGCCAAAATATCAAATTTAGATCAGCACTATGTATACAGGTATAATTTCATACACGTTGATTTTGTCTTTTACGGATAGGATTTATATCTCAACCGAAAGCACCAATCCAATTTGATTCGTATAAAATTCGATAAAATTCGATAATGAACTTTATATTATTAGTGCCGCGTGCTGATAAATATTCTGGGAATCAATCCACCCAATAATCGTGGCGTTAACATATCTTTGTGCTCGGCCGGTTTTAGGTTTGAGTTTGTGCTCCAAAAGTGGTAAATTGGGTGCTAAATTTGTTGCTTGCATTAAAAATTAATTACTTTTTAAAGTTGCCGCGCACTCGTGCGCGGCTGGTCATACAACGTTGTCATACTGTCACTATAGTGAAGCGACAGTGTGGTGGTCACCACCGTGATACAAATACAACGTATGATAAAGTTTCACAAAGGCTGAACATCAAACATTTTTAAACATTTATATTTGTATATGCATTAATGATTAAAAATACTTGTATCACGTCGTGACCCCCACAGTCGCGCGGCGGGTCATACAATGTATTTAATTTGACGATGTCAATTCATCGCAACTCGGCAAGGTACAGAAGCGCATTTCGTCGTTGCGAGAAGCATAATTAAGTGTGCGGCGCGGCATAGTTACGCATTGCGCTTCAAACAATGTTTGACAAGTTATAAAAGAGCTAAGCACTTTTCTGATATGATGCAAACAGTAATCATTTTGCAAACGTTAGTTTTCTCAACGTCTGGTTTGTAAGTTTATAACCTACCAGGACGCGCGCCGAGTTGGACTCGTCGACGGTCCTGTATATATATGGAACAAATATTTTACGAGTATCACCCGTTAACTGTTAACGTCTGGTGAAATGGGCGGTGAAGCTGAAAGACTGGCGAATAAGCTGGCTAGTAAAATGGAATATCGTCAGGACGATAAAGGGGGTGAAACGACTGTGGGGGTCGCAACGTGATACAAGTCAAAGATATTCAAATGCTGTAGGATATATATTAAGGAAGCGCCGTCGTTTCGAAATCTTAAGAACAACGGTGAATTCTCTTCGAGGAGACAGAGGTGTTGCTCTAACCAAAGCCCTCTCGCTTGCAGTAGCGTGCGACCGCTGAAGGCATTATTCTACTTGTGAAACAAGCGCGTCATGCAGTACGCGTAGACTCATGGCTGCTAGGTGAAACAGAGGTGCATGAAAGAACTTTGTCAATATAAATAGTCTAGATTTGAACTTGGAGCCACAAGGCCAAGGGTGATTTTCAAATATTGAGTTTTTGAAGGGTTGTTTTATATAGGGTCATTGTGACATTATGTGTATACGA